AAATGTTACACAACTGAGATGGCGTGTTCATTTTACCGCGTTTTATTCATGCACCAAAAAGTGCAGTCTTACCACAGCCAATCATGTAATGTTTTCTGTGTCCCTGAAATGACAAACTGCTTACAGGACCTTTTCTTTAGCCTTCTTTTTGCTACTTTGTCAATCCCTGCTTGTAGAGTATCAACAGATTTGTTGTTTACATGACATTGGCTAACAGCTTGTCCAGTTACCATGTCAGCATTGCTCTTTGGTCTTCAGGATGTTTTTCTGTTCCCTGATGTTCTCTTAACTTCTGAGCCCTGCTCAGAACAGCTGGATTTATGCTGACCATAATATAGATACACATAGAAGGACTCTGGTTCTTCTCAACTGGTTATTTTCCCTGGATTTTATTTATTAATCTTTTTTATTTTTGAAAACTTTGCATTGATTTTAAAAATGAAACACTACCTGATCGTCTTCAAGGAATATTTTTTAGCCAGATCAACGTGAAAAATCTATATCAATTCACTTTCATTCTCTGCTGTAGTTTTTCCTTCCAACACAATAGCTTCTCAGTATATTGTTTAGAGTTTGCTCCCTTTGCACCACACCCAATCAAAGTGCAGACCCTGTGTTGAGGTACAAAAGCAGTAATTAAGGCTTAAGTTAAGTTTTCAATACATTTAGCGATGAGAGGTCTATGGCAAAAACAAACATCTCAAAGCAAACGCACAAAGAAAGAGAAAGCTGAGATCAAGACGACTGTGGAAGAGAGGAATACATTTAAATTATGAGAGGGGAGTTTATTTTTCCACTCATAGTTTCATGTGTTGCTAAACGGAAAGCCAACATGCAGTCACAATGGAAAAATGTATTGCCTATTAATCCATCTTTCTTTCTCTGGCAATGCAAACCACAAATAAAGCGAAAATGGGGAATATTAAGTCAAAGTTGGAATACCTTATTTGAGGGTCAGCATACTTTCAGCTATAAAAAGCCAATAATGAGCTTAAACTGATAATTATATGTACAGCAGAAAGCAGACAGATCTAGTGAATTAACGTGGGAGATTTTTGATTTCATTTACAGAAGAGCTGCAGGAAATCTCACTCACTGTCTCTGTTAACATCATTTGCCGTATTGTATCCTGTAAAGGTTTAAATATCAAGGAAGATTTTTACTGGGACATTTTTTTAATGAATAAGACTCCTTCTTACAAAGTGCCTCACAAAAGGATTTATATCCATTTCAAGTTTTTATATATCTGGTTATGTTTCCAGAATGTATTGTGTATTTCATTTGGATTTTTTTATTAATCGATCAACATGAGTTGCACAACTTTGTGTGGTTTAAAAGCAATCAATGCATGATTTAACTAAAATAATAACAAAGCTGCACAGTAACAAGTAAGGTTTTTATTTTATTATGTGGTTATGACAAAAAAAACAAAAAAACAAATATTACTGATATATCAGCTTTCCTTGGGATTATAAATGTTATACAATTTTTACCCTGCTTCTTTCAGTTCATCTTGTCAGGGGGAATAACTTCCAATATTAGTGGAGAACAGGTATCATTTATACACTTCCTAGGAAAGGTTTTCCCTTTCCCCCTCATTGGACTTTCCCAAAATTGAAATAATGCTTTTGTGTATTTCTGTACATGTTCTGCAGAACTAAGAGAACGCAATACGCCGTTCCTCTTCCTATCTGCTATAGCAGTGGTGGTTTAAGATGTGGCAAAGCTCTAACTAACAGAAATGAAAACCAGATGCCAACTTTATATCCCTGCATAAATTCCCACCTTTTCCATGATCTCACTTTTTTTTCTGTGTGTGTTACGAAGCAGAAAAGTTTAACAGTAACCGTTTTCTGTTGGTCCTTCTTTCTCATTCTTTGGGGGATTTACAATTAACATCATGACAGAGTTTACGAGACATGGAGCAAGAGCAGGACTTTCCCTGTGACACAGTTTGTATTCAGGAGGCTGCAGGCAGTTTTCAGCCTCACAAAGGGAGCATGCAGCCCAGTGACATGCAGACACTTAAAAAGAGTCTGGTAATTATGATGAATTTGACTGAATGTGTGACAGGGTTCATTCAGGTTCAGGCTGGGTGCACTGTGAAGATGCTTTGTATGTTGAGATATGTAAAAGACTCTAGAGGAAGGACAAAGGCATAACGCCTTCTGTCAAGGATCTGTCTGTTCCGGGAACTAAATGAAACAAAATTCAGTTAAGTGTTAACATAAAAATACTTGTATTAATATGTTCAACAATGTCTGTGAAAGCTTTCATACCATTGATCTTTTTAACAGTTTCCAACCACAAACCTCAATGTATTGTATGAAGAAAAACATAAAAGGTTACTATTGCAAGTTTGATAGAATTTACAGGAGCTCGAGCAAATTATGAAGATTCTTGTGCTTGTATGAGCTGGAATTTCTCTTTCCTTTTGGCCTGCTTTTAAAATGCAAAATAAGGGAGGAGTTTAACACTACAGACCAACACACTCCCTACTGTATAACACGGTATAGGCAGCAAGATGCTGCGGGATGACTTGTTTGGAAGGGACATTGAAACAGATAAGAGTTTGAAGGGTTTGATAGATAAAGTTAAATTCAGGCAACTTGGTTTAAATAAAATGGGAGAGTCTGCAAAAGGGTGACCATATTCAGCGTACACCTCAATAGTTAAACATTTAGCTGTGGAGCTATACTTAATTATTGTTTTATGAAAATATACTATAGAAGTAAAAGTCTAAACTTTGAGCATCTGTGGCTGACCCGTTTCCATCCAATCCAAACGAGCTTTGGATATTTGATATTTGAGACCTCCTTTTTGTATTATTTCATTTTCGGGGCTATTTACATGCATTTTATATCAGTCGTCAATTTAAAACATTTCTTTTTAGAAAAAATCCTGCTACTTCTCTGTTCTCTTCAACTTCAAAGAAGTCTGGATTTAAGCACTTCCAGGATTTCACTTGAATAAAAGATCATTTTAACAGTTGCCTACTTACTTATATATGCTGTGTTGACCAAATTCAGTTTGGACTAACATTTTCTGCAGCAGTCTAACATTTTAGTGTGCAGGGTTTCGTCTGGTTGAAATGACAGAGAAGATGGCTAAAAGGAGGCCGGACATGTTGGTGTGGTCTTTTGTTAGGCTTTGTTAAAAAAGGAGTGAGTCATTTCCCGGACAGTGAAGAAAAGTTCTCCAGTTACAGAGAGGACTGCGGGGAGAAGCTATCCTGAAGCCATTATTTTCTCCTCTCTGCAGAGTCAGCTGGTACACGATAGAAAACATCAAATATTTACCCACAGCTAAATGTGTGACTTGTTTGGCAGACACAGAGAAAAGAGATTAAGCCGGCCAAAATTAAAGAAATGGAACATGTCAAAAAGCTGCTTACATTCCTCGTTGTTTACTGTTTTGATAGTTTGATAGATCTGAGCAGCTCCCATCCCCCATCATCATGCTGTGTCTGGCTCACATGATGCAGCTGGAATTCCAGATGTTGCTCATGGAATTCTGATCCATCTCTGGCCTCCAAATGGGACTGAACCCCCACATGCTCCTCCTTCCTCCCCCCCTAAATGCCTCGTGACTTCTCTCTCCAAAACACTGGTAAGAAATGGACAAAAAAAAATCATGAGCGCCCTAAAGCTTTCTAGCACAACGGAAAATTACTTCATCATTTCAACAGCATGAAGCCCCGTTTTCTGTAATCTTAGCATATCGTAGAGCCACTGACCTATCTCTTTACAGCAAATGGATAAGCTGTGGGGACATGTCGAAGTTCACAGTTAAATTGGAGCATAATGTAAGGTTGTGCACACATACACTATCAATGACTCACAACATCATAAAATGCAAACTTTGATGACTTTATTCATCAATGAAAGGAAAGAATGCATGGTTGTTTGCAGATTTGCACTTAGAGAAAAAGCAAAAACAAAGTGTGCATAAACTTTCAGTTCCTCTGAAACTAAATAAAATCCAGTGCATCTAGTTGTTTGTCAGAAATCAACTAATCCAGCTGTTCTGGGAAGGGTTTACAGGTTTGCTAGTGAGCAATATGAAGCAAACAGCCTCACTAAGTTCAGGGAACGGATCAGAAAAGTTGCTGGTTTATCATTATTCACCACTTTATCTTGGTTTGTGATATGAAATATGAAGGCAATACAAACAAATTGAGGTTTACGGTTGAAATATTAAATACAATGTAATATAAAAGAGGTAGCAATACATTTGTAACCAGGGAAACTCCTTTATAGCTCTGAATAAGATAGGCATCTGTACTCTTTTCTCTGTTTAAGGACTTTTATTTTCTAAGTTCCATTAGTGGTTTATTAAAAATGGGCAACTTATCCCTGATTTGCTGAAGAAAAACCAAAGTCCTTCACTTTGTAGAGTCCTCATTATCCTGCACTTCCCTTCCATTTATGATCCTCATAAATATAGTAAGAACACACACACTCCCTCTTTCCCTTTCTAATTGTATAGTTTAGATATGTTTTTCTGCTGTGCAGCAACGGGGTTTATACAATCGTCCTCATCCCTGTTTCTACTTAAGATTTGGATCCGCTCTGTATTTTCCGACCCAGTTAAAGGGCCTGCCAGTTTCTGAGCCCCAGTAATGCAGTGGTGCGGTTGGGGAACAAGAAACCTGGAGGTCCAGGGAGACTGGGGAAGACCAGATGGAAAAGAGACACGATCCGAGCTAACGACTCGGCTGAAACTTCCAGGTGAAAGACGGTTCATAGGTAAACATTTAGAAAGATAATTTACCGGATAATAATTAAAGCACAGAAAGCCTTTTGAAATTACTTTATTTATGTAAGAGGAAAGGGGAAAAGAGGAGGTACACACAGTCTTGTTTAAACCAAATAGTTGTCATTATAATCATAATTACTACTATTATTGTCACTGCTGAACTCCTTTTAACCCCCGGCTAGTATAGTAGCACCATAATTTAAAGTTGCACAAGTACAATAACAAAAAAGGAGTCATTTTTCTTAAATCTTCAATTTATTTTCATTTGAGATAGATTCAATGTATATATATAAAAAAAGAACAATCAAATTTCAAGCATACAAAACCCGATTCCCCTGTTCACTATCCCCCACATGTATAAAATTAAGGCCACTTTCCAAAGTGTATGTCTCTGTCCAGCAGGACGTTTTAATGTCAATTTACAAAAACAAAACAAAAAAAATGACATTCAACAACAATAATAGTAACAGTCATAATGCTAATGACAACATCACTCATGACAAAACTCATCATGGAACACAAAGGTAATGAATCGGCCATAGAAACGGTGTAACTTGAGAGTGTATGTCTTGCTTTATGAGGATGTCAGCAAATTTGTTTCCCTTTTATGGTTCAAACTGGCTCCAACATGTTTTTTTAGTGGAAGATAAAGAAACAAAGCAACTATGTCCCTTTGGATTTCAAGTGTGTGTGTGTGTGCTTAGGTGAGTGTGTTCAAGCTTAACAAAGAGGGGAGGATTGGTTGGAGGTGGGCGCCCATGCAAAGAAACATGCTTCACTCTGCGTTGTGGAAATACAGGTTCAGACTGGTAATTCACGAGAACACAAACTTTACCATCGGTAAAAAAAAAAAAAAAACTACAAGCAAGACCTTGAAAAATGACTAAAACAAACAGCAACAAGCTGGCGTCAGTTACCACAGGAGGATGGGTGGAGGCAAAAGGAGTGGAAAACAGAAGGATGGAGTGGTTAGGAGATAAGCGATGGTAGGAATATTTTAAAATAAAGGTCTAGGGTTTTTCCTTCACCTCTTCTCTCTTCCGATTGGCTATCTGTTGAACATTTGCTCCCTTTTTGTTCCTGTTTCTCTCCTCCCTGGCTCCTTTTACTCCTCCACTTACACCTTATCTAGTAGAGATCTTTGGAAGTACAAAATTCGGCGTGGAGTGCCGTACATACGGAAAAACACCAGGGCTGCCAATGTGGCAATCACACAGACCAGCAGGAACAGCGGCAGCACCACAGCCAGTGCTCCGTTCCCCTGACTCGTCTCGATAATAGTCACATCCACTTCTTCCTCTGTCTCATTTTCCGTTTCCCTGTCGTCAGGTCTTCTGTCCTTATCCTCGCGTCCCGTTTCCTTCTCTCTTTCTTTGTCTTTGTCGTGGCCTCCTCCACCTCTTCCTCCATCCGTCTTAGGATCCTCATTGGGGCAGCCCATCCAGTCACGAAGCGCTGATTTGGGGTATCCAGGCTCCACACGCATCCTCTGATTGTCATACTTCCAGTACTTGTTGGCTTTGTAGAAGTAGGTATATGCTGAGGGGAGGAAGATTGAAATGTTAAAAACCGATGGCAGCGTTAATGAACAAGGACGGATGGAAATTAGCTGTTGAGCCATGCAAACCTTGATCTTTGCTCATGAAGGCTGCCTTAATGTTGTCAGGAACACCCTGCCACATGTCAATTGGTTTGGGGTAACCGTCATCCACTCTTTTTGATGCTTCATTGAAACGATAATACCTGAGGAAAGGGAAGCAAAGGAACACTTAGTGGAAGCTGCTTATAGGTTTTACACAATGTTAAAAACCTGACAATAAATTATCTAAAGGCCTTTAAACATAAATTAGAAATAACATTTGCTCAGGGGGATCTGAAACTATTAGATCTTAAGTGAGATTCATCGTACCAAAAGTCTATGTTGTTTAGCTGGTTTTGGAAACATTCGTTAGCTTTAATGTGTTTATTATACGAATTGATGGTTTTATTCCTTTGGGCTTGGTATAATGTGACAGGTTGGATCTTTTTGCTGTGAAGTTTGTGAAACGATAACTGGTTTTAGCTACCTTATCTATAGCAGACGGATGGCTAACAGCTAAGCTCATGCTAAATATACCAATCATCTGAATTACTGTATGACTAAATATTAGCCATGTATAATTTCACAAGTGGTGATTGATAAAGTTGTCACTAAACACAGCAATATGTACTTTACAAACTCACTGCCATGTGACACCTGTTAAAGGTTCAGTGGAGGATTTTTCGTGAATTTTTGAAAAGCATCTCCCTCTCCACTTCAAAAATAAAATACGCTGTGCGATATTTTCAATCGTTGCATGCAGCTACATTCAAACTGTGTGACGAAACCGCAGGGTTTTAAGCTCACAGCTCATGATGCATGTTCTCACACTCCTATACGACCTTACGACCCCCGACCGAATTTCGAACATGTTTGATTTTTCTCCCGACCTTATGATTCCTGATCAGCAGTTGGTCATTTAGAGGCTGATCACCCCTCGTTACCCTCTGCCATATGCGCGATGACGCTGAAACTCAGCCCAATCATAAATTCTCACACGACTGGAGAATCGGCCCGAAAAGGGCAAAAAAATCGTACAGCGTACCGAGAGGAAATGTTTAATAAACACATATGAGAGCATGTACGAGCCCATTTCTCCTCATGCACACTCTGTTTAAAAGTTGTTGTTTTCATTGCTCATACAAGCTTTATTTCCAAAAGATTTGCTATTTTTTCCACTATGTCAGAATCACCAACAGTAGGTGAAAATGGGGACGACCATGTATGACGGCCTTATGTAAACATATCACCATAATGATTGACAATTAGGAGGGCCACTTATTTTGATGATCCACCCAGAAAAAGAACATCCAACAGGTAAACTTATTAGTACAAAGGAAAACATCTTAGAAACTTGCATAAAAAAAAAAAGAAATAACAGCATAATTTTCTCTGGAAAAGGAAATCTTTACTGCTTGTGTCGTAATGTTGAGGGTTTTGCCACAGTGTAGGCGGGGGGTTATACCAAGTGTTTTAGATTAAGCATTTAACTCCTCCTCATTGTTTATTTTTGTATTTATACAGGAAGCTTTTTTTCTTCTTTTTATTCACAGTTTGTGATTAAGCTTCCTTTTTTAATCCCTATATGGTCAATGATCAAACATGTCTGAGGTAAGTGGTAATGGAGGCGTTTTCCTTTGAATTTCAACCTGGTAAACTATAGTACTCATTTATTTTAGACACACACTCACACACAACCACCCACACAGTTAAGTAGGCTTACTTGTTAGCTCGGAAGAAAAAGGTGTGTCCATTGGGGGTGTAGAGGAGAGCAGCATCTATCCGATCTTTGGGAAGGCCGGAGCCCATTTCCCTCAGATATTTGGGGTAACCAGATTCAAGAATTGATTCGCTAAACACCCAATGCCTGTCCCCTGCAAAGAGATGGAGACAAGGACAGAGAGTGAACATTTAAGATGTTAGCCATTTAATAATCACACAAAGTAGTTTACTTATTAGTGCTTTGGCTGACCTTTAAAGAAAACAAATTTCCCCTCTTCGTTTTCAAAAGCAGAATTTATGTGAGAGGGTAAACCCCTCCAAAAGTGACCAATGGGCATGGGGTATCCCTCCAACACACGGCTGTTACGTACTCGCCAGAACCATTTGTCCTGAAATTTTGAACAAAGATCACTATACTGTCGACAAACAGGAAAGAAAAAGGAAATCAGAAAGTTTGCAGATCAGTTTACCTTGAAGACGAACATTTCTCCTCTGAAGATTCCAATGGTGTCAAAGTGTCCATCGCAGATGTCAGGACCAAAGTGAGGTTTATCTGGTGAATAAGTGGGCTGGGGGTCATGGTCAGGTGGCTGTGGTGTCAATGGAGGGGGCGGCGGAAGGTCTGATCCAGACCCTAAAGGAGCAGAAACACATTTAACCTAATTAGAAAACCAAACTACATTTTCACCAGTTTGTCACAGCTATAAACTGTTTTTTTTGTTGATATGGCAATCCAAAAGACCAATGATAGCAATAAATTAAAGGAAGAAAAAAAAGGAAAAAATGGTTGACAAACATTTTTTACAAATAAAATCTGAAAATTCAAAATGAAATCCAATTTAAACTGTGGTTAACGCTTCAAGCCTTTTGGAGGATGTTTCTACTGGCTTGTGGCATATAAAGATACATTTCTGTATCATTTATTAGCTTCAGTAGAGTCGGGTAGGATGGAAAGGATATCGGGTGTTCGAATTATATTTTTAGGGTCACTGCTTCACTGTGGAATTTTGCTTTGTTCACTAATTTTGAGTGACTTCTGTGCAAATGCTGAGGATAAGCATCCCTAAAGTGTGATGGTGCCATAAACAACAAGTTAATTATGTAAATTGTTTGTTGCTTTCATACACAGGGGTTTGCATTTTTTTTTTGGTCAAAATGTTTTATTTCTATCTCCTCCACAGCTCCATCTGCATGGTAATAATATTAAATCCCAATCAAATATATTAAATTTCATGCTTAATAAAGCTAAAGATGTGTAATAGTTTGTGCTTACAACATACCATATAGTTGTTGTATGCCTCTGCGGTCGTCATCAGGAAGTTGGAAGTTCTCTGTGTCCATCCACTGGTAGAAGGGAGCCATGATGGCTGAGGGGTCATTGGAGTGCTCTAGACCCAAAGCATGGCCCAGCTCATGCACAGCAACGAGGAAGACATCATTACCTGGAACAAACGACTCATTTCACTGACTGCTTAGTTTTGAAAAAGACTAAAGTAGTTGTTGTGGTAGAAAAAAAAAAGTTTTGGATGGAAGAAGAAGGAAGCAGAACCGTTCCCAAATTTACAAATGAGTCAAAAGCACATTACTGTCACACATCAGTAGATCAGAAATAAAATCAGATGGAAAGTCATGTGAACACAAGTTTGGCTTAAATAGCTGACAATGGGGATTTTTGTGGTTTTTGCACTTTGAAAATAACCACATTCCTCTGTACTGCCTAAAAAGGAATGACACAAGTCTGGACACGCAACAGGTTTTGCTTGTGACAGCAAAAATAAAGTCCCCCGGGATGCAAACAAGTGAGTTACTCCCAGCATTTAAAGGTTTTCATGTTTCATCAGATTTAGGAGAATCTGTAGAGAGATAAAGATCTTTCCTTTACTGGAAAGATGGAGCTATCTCGGAGCCTCACCATGCAGATCCCTGTTTCCAATCGTCCATGGCTCGGCCGCATCAAAGTGAGTGTCTCCACCGATGCCGTTGCCAGGAAAGTAGGCATGCGCCAGGAAGCCGCCCTCGCCATCGAAAGGACTACTGTCGCCATGGAAACCCTCGGCGAAGAAGAGCATGATGTCGGCAAACTCCTCCACCTTGTCCCGTATGTAGCTGTAGGGAATTTCCCTGAAGCGCAGCGGGGTGACGCGCTCCCACACCTTGAAGGCCTTCCTGATGGCCTCGTGGGTCTCATACTCGCCCACCTTTGGGGTGTAGTTCTGGATCCTGCTCAGTGTGCAGTTAGGTTTGAGAGCGGAAAAGATACGACAATAAATTATTCAAGGCAAAATAAAGATCTTTGCTATTTGCAATTAAAATATTTACCAACTGGGGATAAAAACTTTGATCCAATAAATCAATTACAAAAGTACACCTGCCTATAGCATTCTGTCATGTTAGAGCAGCAAAATCTAATTAATCAATAGAGATTTTACTTGATAAATCAACATAAATCAGATTGGTTAATGTCAAAATACAATTTTATATGGTTTTCAAATAGTTTTGACCAATTCAAATCTGATAAAAGCGACATGCATTTGTTAAAACGCCCAGGTCTATTTAGATTGGATGGAGCGCTTATGTGAGCATTAATATTCAGGTCTGGACTATGACTGAGCTACTCCACTGTAGTATTTCCAGGGGATTTTGTCCTATCCGTACTTCTATCAACCCTGGACATTTTCTCTGTCTCTTTTCAAGAGACATAGACATTATGGGATGATGCTCCTGCGACTGTGGTGCATCTTAGATAATTCTCTAATGTAAACTGTTTTTTTTTTGTTGCTGCTTTTTGTATCCCTCCTTCGGTCTCCTTGAACCCCAGTCGGCCTCGGCAGATGGCTACTCACACTAAACCTGGTTCTGCTGGAGTTTTCTTCCTGTTAAAAGGGATTTTTTTTCTCTCCACTGTCGCTACAAGCATGCTCAGTGTGAGAGATTGCATTTGAGTCAATGAGTCAATGCAATCAACTGGCTTTCCTTAGATAAAAAACTGTGAATCAATTTGACTGTATGATCTGGTGAACTGTAAAGTGCCTTGAGATGACATGTGTTGTGAATTGGCGCTATAGAAATAAACTGAATTGAAATTGTATTGAAACTGAATTTAATTAAATTGTCCAGTTGGGTTTAAGTGGGTGGCCATTTATTGGTAGGTTTTTAAGGCTTTTCTAACATGACAAACTGAGCACTGCTCTGTAAGTTGATCTTTATCATTGTGCTGTTTGTTTACTGAAGTTCTCTAAAAATAAAAAACCCTGAGAAGCCTTCACAGAGCATCTGAATTAATACTGAGATAAATTACTGAATTACAACCTTTCCACTAATTAAAGTGACTTCTGAAGACAAGTTCCAAAGAAGAATCTTATTAAAAGGGACCCAAGTTAAATGGCTGAATGCAAATGCATGCTAGATTTTTCATCATTTTTGTTTATGAAAAAAATGGAAATTGATCATTTGTCCTCTATTTAAAGATTGCTTTCTCTGTTTCATTTGAGACTTTCCTGACTTACGAAAACGTGATATCTCTCTTCTGCCACTTCAGGTTCTGAATGGCATAACGCTTCCTCCTCAAGTTACTCTTCAGCTCTGCTCCAAACTTATCTGGCACGCCGCAGCGGGGTCGTTTCATGGCCCTGCAAGAGAACACACAAAATAATGACATAGCCCCTTTTAATAGTTTGTGCTTTTGTTTATCTTTTAGTGTGTTTGGTACTAACTCAATTGTTTTATCATCCATGCTGCCGGTCACTGTTAGGCCGTAGAACCTCTGCATTGTGGCGATGGCTGAGGATAGGGAGTGAGGGGAACGAAGGGAGTGAGTCCTTAGGTCTCCTGGGGGAAGGTAACCATACTGCTGCAGCCATGACTAAAAAGCAAAAAAACACAGAGGGCACTGATGAGAATTTTCATTTTAAAGATGTTCTTTTCATATAAGATAGAAATAAATTTCAGCAGATTTTTGTTGATGATCCAGCTGAGGAGATGGTTTCAAAAGGACAGATACAAGGAGTACAAGGTCGGGAAGTTTTTGTGTGGCTGCAGCGAAAGCCCATTCCTCTCTGAAAACCCAAATGAGCTCATAAATAACTCCTCTGTTGTGTAGCCGAAAGCAGTTGCATCATTTTCAAGCACTTGGCCAGTTATTTATTAAACCGAAATGCCATTCAACCATCAACATGACTCACCCCAGTGGATACGTATGTGGACCAATACTGAGCTAAACTCTAACAAAGAGGATTCTGGTTTCGACGAGCCAGAGGGGCTGAAATTTAAAGAAATTTCCCACAAAAGGTGAATTCATTTCAGGTTATTCATTTCAGTTTTAAGATATTTAGCAGCTATTATATGTAAGCTGAGTTACAGAGTGTGATTTCTGTTTGCGTATATGAGGGATTCTTTTTCACCCATTCTGAGCGTATGGTCATTTAGATTCTTTGTGCAGCAGAACATTAAACCTCAGCTAAAGCTTGACCTGATATTCCCCTAAAAAACCATTTCACCGCAGTTCTGGGTTGACATCTAAGCCAATGCCAGCGGCTTTGCTCCACGCTTCTCCCACAGAGCTTCTCCTGCACTCTTAGCCTTTTAAACCAGGACCAAAAAAACAACACTGAGGTCTGTGCAAACGGTGATAAATGATATTCTGCTATACGCAGTCACTGTGATCTCAGCTGTGGTTAGATGTTCTGTTTTATGTTTAGATATACTGTCCTTGCCTGAAGTAGATCGACTTGATGCAAACAATTAAACAAGTTTATTTGTTTTGAATGTTTGGGTTTCGGAGCTCAGGATAATGGGTGCGTGTGCAGAAAAGGAGAATAACAGAGTCAGAAAAGCAGAGTAAGGGAGTGTCCCAGGGTGAGACTCAGGCCTTGGGCAAACCTCAGCCAATGTCTCCAGTTGAGAGGCAGCGTCAGTTAGTAATTTAACTGGGAATTTCTCCTGAGCAGCATCCAAACCTCAGAGTCAAACTCCCCCCCCCCACCACCACCACCTTCATGTCTCTATCCTGTTCTCATCACACTAATTCTCCCCGTCTCCCTTATCCCATTTTTATGGAAAACCCATTTGCTTAAATAATCATATGGAACCACACCCTGACCAGCTAAATATCTGCTTCGGGGCTATTTGTTGCTAATAGTAAACACAAAACATGTTTAATTGCCAATTTTTCCAATGTTTTCTGCTGACATTGTACAGCACATCATGTGCTGTCCATGAAAGGGACACAGAAGAGATGTTCTGCTGTGTTTGCACTTCCTATTCACAGATGAATTGAATCGTTGGGGATGAAATCAGAAAAACTAAGTTTGTCTTTCAAAACGTAGACATCCAGCTTCGGCCTGTTGTCAATCACTTTTTGCACTTTAAAATAACACGAAATACATTTGATCCTTTTAAATCAGTTTATTGATTTCCATTTAAAGTCAAAAATGGAAAGGGGAATAAATATTGAAGATTCTTTAGTTTTCTTTTTTTTAATCTTTAGTGTAGTACTGCTTCCCCTTTAATTGATTTAGCCGAGCACCACTTTAACTTTGAAATGGTTTAGCCTGATTTCCTATAGATTATCACTGCTGCCTTAAAAAAAATCGTTGTATCCTAGAGTGCTATTTTGGAGTAATGCTGTTTTATTAGTACTGACGTAGCTTTTAACAGTTTTATATTGGACTACTCTATTCTAGAACACGTGTGATGCAAGTTTAGCCTCTCATAATGTTAAGAACAGGCCTTGAACGTATTTAATGTAGCACTGCTGTACTCTAAATTCATTTTAACCCTCAAGTAGCTTTAATCTTACATTTTTTAGCTGTGCACTTTTTTTCTCCCAAAAACACTGGATTATTTTATGCTTTAGGGGTATGTATCTTTATTAGTTTTATAATAAAGATGCTAATGCACTCTGGCTGGGTTCTGGAAAAGGTTGAATGGCAGCTTTGGAGGTCCTCGAAAAGGTCCAGTTTCCCCTCCTCTGTCTGTCCTAGCGAGACATGGAGGTCTTAGTGTTTAGATTTCAACCCTGAATGAGCTCTTTCTGGTTCTGACTCACCCCTATAGACACAAAAAGTCCCACTGTTAACTGGTGTAACAGCACATCTACATGAGTGGGGAAAGAAAGACTAGAACACAAGAAGAAAAAGATGAATTTTACATGCGTCCAGATAAAATAGATAAGAATCACAACAGGCCTTGCAGTTTGCCGTCAATATGTGGCGTATGGCTCTTAGAATCAAAGGAAAAACCCACGGTACTCTCATCCCATATTAATATTGGCCTCTGCTCAGAAAAAAAAAAAAAAGCTCTCATGGATAACAGAGAACACTTGTTTGGACTTTAAGGCATTCATCGGCTTCTAGGGTTATTTAACAAAGTCTTATTCAGTGTCACACACTGCTATTTTTGAGCTCACTTATAGACTGGGTAACTAAAGCAGAACCAGAAAGAGGAAACGGTTAGTATTTAAAGCAGAGTAAGAAGTGACATGTTGTGCATTTACAGTGCTTTGATTTTTAGCTCCTGGCCTATTTTCCGCTTCAGAAAGCCGTGTTCAAAGTGCTCTCTTCAGGTAATCGTCCAATAAAAATACTTCAGGCAACAAATTCTCTTTCACACCATTTGTTCAGCTATTCAAACTATTGCAAAAATATTTTTACGTGCTCTGAATTTCATTTGTCGAATTAGGTGTAGTAACCAAACATATTTCTCCTTTTGCAGCAGCAATCTTTTTAGCACAAAAATAGGCTTTTTATAACACAATAATCCTTTTTTTGATGCCTTATTTCTTATAATCCTTTAAACACAGGTAAACTATTATATATATATATAGATAGATATATATATAGATAGATAGATAGATAGATAGATAGATAGATAGATAGATAGATAGATAGATAGATAGATAGAAATCTCTAGCTTTTGACATTGCATTCAAAANTTTAAACACAGGTAAACTATTATATATATAGATAGATAGATAGATAGATAGATAGATAGATAGATAGATAGATAGATAGATAGATAGATAGATAGATAGATAGATAGATAGAAATCTCTAGCTTTTGACATTGCATTCAAAAGATTTGAGCTTTTAGTAAATAATAAATAATAATTTTGCATAGTTTTTTTAATCTCTTACTGTAGTTTATAATGGGAGTGCCAGCTAAGAGATGTCACCTTAGATTAGTTGGACATGTCAAGAAATCGCACCTGAATTGTAATATATACCGAACATTGAGGCTGTTCAATATATAGTCACTGTAGTACAGTTGTGCACTGCATTGGCATTGCAAAGGATTTTTCTGTCCAATTATCTGCAATTCACTATTTTCATACCATTAAGCAATTCGGTCTGTTTTAAGGAGTCTCTAACAGGCATAGTGCAACGACAATAGAGTCCCCACAGATGACAGAGAGAGGTCAAAACATGCAAAAACAGGAAAAGAGAGGAAAATTATGTTTTTATTACAGCCAAAATCATAATTGTAATTGTATTTCTTACTCACATATGTGAAACCTTTGCAATAGTTAAAGTTATATTTAAATGTTGGTACAAAACTTAGATGAAATACTTAATCTCTAGCTATGCTATGCAGACACTCTGTCTGTGCCGATGAAGTTTCAGTCACCTCAGCATTGAGACTGCTTAATGCAGCCTCAACAACAGCTCAGACAGAGCTAGAGTTTTAGCAATTTTATCCAATAATAATTTTATTATTTGGCAGCTCTTATAGATTATGAGTTGAGCATTGAACATCCATTGTTTTATGTCTAAGTGATCATGAAGTTCAGTTAAAAAAAATGCATGACTCTGCAAAGGTTGTACCCTTTATCTTGATGTATAAACATTCTACAAAGAGACTCACAGGCTTGACATGACTTGATGTTTCATAAAACACTTTTTTCAGGTTTAGAGCCGTGTAAAATGCTTTTTTTTTTTTACACCAACTCACTTTGTGGAGAATCGATGTTGCATAGGATGAGAGGAGGACAGTTAGTCAGTTGTTCCACCCATCAGGGCCCAATGGAAAGGAACTTTGGTCACCAGTGATGGGAGTCCTTCTAAGGCATGCTGGGTAAACAAAGCCCTCACATCTGCTTATTACACATCCCTTCCTCTATACAGAGGGCGGCAGGATTATGTCAAATGGGGTGAAATTATATCTCCCAATTCCCTTGCAACTGTCCATTACAGGATTTGATTGCGTGTGTGGGCAGGTATATTCACCACAGGAGAGCAGAACCGGTATAAATATTTCCCTGCTGTGAGGCTTTTTTGTCCTCTTTGCAAAAGACCTCCCTGACACACACATGTAATCGTCTGATATTAGCAGACATATAAGAAGAAGTGGTGCCCTAATGGGCAATGTCAGGCAAATATCAGAGGCAGGAGATTGTTTAAAGAGAAAAAAAAAACAATCTCTTTTTCATTAAGGAAATGCGGTAAGTCACTTAAGTAATGCACTATCCTGGAACCCGTCCTGGTTTTCCTCTGGGAAGTCACCGCTTGGCTTAAAAGTTAAGATTTAAACAATGGTTTGGCCTAAAAACGACACCCACTTCCTCCCGTTCTCCTCCTTCCATCCTCTTTCCAATATGGAGTTAGCATAAGCTTACCAGTTTACTGATCTGAATGGTCCTAAAGTGCATTTACAAGCAAAAAAGGGTGAGGTTCAATCCCACAGGAAAATATGCATTACTGTTTTACATCCTGTCTAATGCAGAGAGACAACTGTTAGATTTTTCTTTTTTTTTTTTTCTGTTCCAGCACATTGACTCAGTCCCTCAGTGCATCACAATGCCTTCCTTTTTAATGGTTTGCAACAACCCCCTTTACTATCCATCCTGTCTCGGCTTCATCATCTCATTTCCTGTCTGTCACCCTTTATAGTTGATGACCTCAGCTGGCAGACATTTTTTGGGTGTTTGTATAGACGCGGATGTGTCTGCATGCTAAAAGTTGGTGGGTACTGAGTCTGACACAGCATGGTGGTTTGGGGATTAAAGCTGACCACTTCCTTTCTTTACCACTGTCCACAGGAAGTGGGATTTTATCGCCACACTATCTGCAGGTGTTTTTATCACAGCCGCCTACAATGGTTAAAAAAAAAATCGCTTTGAAGGCTAATTTTGTCTGACTGTGTCAGAAAGTCCCAGGTGCTTTTAGAGTGAGTTGCATTGGACATAATTGACGTGGTCATAATAATAATCATACCTTATTATTGAACCAATCTAAGCAGTTTTATGGGCATAGAGCTGAATTGATCATTTACATTTGCTTTTTGTTGCGTCTCTTTTGTATTCCAAGTACCAATTGCTTAATTAAAGAAATGTTCAGATAATTCAGCATAGATTTGAAAATTCCCCCCAATCTCTTGTCTATCAGCCTCTAAATTTTTCCTATATTTTGCTCCAAAATCAGCACTGTCCATCTTTGCGTCTCTGGAAAACAATCCAAGCATGTTTTGTAGACCAGCACACCTTCTTAAATGTTTCCCATGTTTCCATTCATGTCTTATATTTTAGTTAATTTTGTAACTATTTCAATTTTCATCCTGCAACACTTTCAGGCCAGATTAAACCTTCTGCATGGATGTATCTCTGAACTTTTTGGTGTCATTATTGTTTTCATGATGCTGTTTGTTCACTATTGTGAACAACTAACAAACCTATAAAAGCCTTAACCAAACAGCTGGATTTATACTGAGCTTTAGTCCATTGAACAATGAAATTCATTGTTTTTAGTTTAAAAGTGTAAAAGTAAATGTCCTTAAATAGTTTTTTAATGTAAGTAATATGGAAAACATGCCTCTTTCTTCAGATGTTTGTGTTCTCAATATGTCAAAATGTAAAAAAAAAAAATTAAAATGGCTCTGCTTGCTATCTTAACTTTTTTGCAGCTTAACCTTTCAAGCCTCCCGTCTATTGTAGGTCAATACAGTAACATTATAGTAAAAAAAAAAAAGAAACTTTTTTTTTTTCATTGTTACAGTTGCAGCTCCAACTCCTTATAAGCCTAAGGCAGGGTGCAGTTATTCGGATGCGGCCCTGCGATTTAAAAAAATATATAACTCTGTGATCTCATTCCTGCATCCGTTATAAATAAACTGATGTTTTCCCACATATGTGATGATTGTTAATGGTACTGAAGGAAGCAGGTGTGCTGAACGGTCACTTCCTTGAATAAACACAAAGCCTGCTGCTGTTTTCCTGGTAATACTGGACGAAACACAGCAGATCCTAAACAAATTGGAGCAGAGAAATATAAACTAAACCTTATGGCGTGTGATTTTTCAGGAGGAAATATACATCCTTTGCAGATAAATTTGCTGCGATGCTTAATACGTCTCAGATTGTTAAACCCTCCTCGCCCCCCACCGGATCAGACCTCATTTAGGACATATGTCAACAATTACCCTACATTTCTTCATGTCCTTTGAGAATAAGTGCCCACACATCTCACAATGTCTACTTCAATAAAAGAAATGTCTTTGTCTCTGACCCAAACCACAGCGCAACTTCATGTATTACTTGCACATTTCTTCCTTCTCTAGCTCCTTGTGCTTTTGCCCTCTCAGCATTTTTCTGTGTGTTTTTATGAGGCTATCATCATTATGGGCTGTTTCCCCTAACCCAGGGTCAAAGCCCTTCCCATCTCACCACAGAAATGATTATCCATTACAATACAGACTGGGAAACAAAGCTATCACATACATTACAATGATTTAAAATAATACAGCAACTTGTAAAAGTATTCGTTTACACGATTCATAAATGCAGTCGACAAATCCTGCTTCTTTAGATGAGTGGTAGACTACAGCTACTTAGCCTATATCATGTTTTCATATGGCTCAAAAATACTGATCTGCACCAACAGTATTAGCAGGAAATCTACCCATATTAATACAATGGTGAGAAGATTACACTTGAACACATTGTCTTTGTTTGATGCATGGCAGAGAGAGAAAGATCCTGAGGGGAAACCTTTCCTCAGCAGGGAAGGAAAGTGGGTCAGAGTTGACGGGAAGAAGAATGGAGCTAAATAAAGGGCAATCCAGGAAGAAAATCTTTTGGAGGCTGCAGAGGGCTTCAGAACAGGGCATGGGTTTACCTTCCAGCTGGACAAGTCTAAATGTGCAGCCAAAGATTAGGTGGATGGGTTTGGATAAGCACATATCAATGGGTTTAAATTGCTATGTCTAAGTCAAGATCTTAATGTGTGTATATTAAAAAAAAACTGTGTCTATAAATGTGTCTATAAACATAAAACTGTGTCTATAAATGTGTCTATAAACATCTGAAAGAGCAAGAATGGGTGTCAATATTAGATTACATTTTTTATTATGAATGTAATGTAACATGCTTCTTTATGTATTTATTTATTGTCTTATAATGGAATTTCTATAGCAGTGTTTTTTTGTGTGAATGCAGTGTGACACATAGTTTTGGACTATGTAGCAGCCACAGTCAAATTTCCTTTGGGACAATAAAGTTAATCTAATCTAATCTCAGTCTTTAGATATGCATTTTGTGGTACAGGTATACCCCAAAAAAACTTGTTAGATTTTAATGCCCTGTTTTTTTATTTTATTTTAGGCTGTCAAATCAAAGGGGGTTGAATGATATTTACCTTTATAATAACGAGAAAAAAACAAGGTGAAAGGTTCAACAGGTGTGAATAATCCTGAATAATCCTCCTATCTTTACCCTAATCCTTTAGTTTCTAAACCGTTTGGTAAAGTTTACTAAGCACTGATTTGTCATTTGCCCCTATTTAGATTAGAGTTGATCATATTGTTCCCTGAGGTCTGTTTTATGTTAAAGATGCATTAAGGATGTAAATGTCTGAATCTTTTGGAAGTATTCTGGGTCCTTTGGATGTTTTTGCGCGCTCACCTCTGGGTTGACCTGCCGCTGCGTCGCTCCATGCGCTCTCAGCTCCCAGACCAGCGCCAGCAGCAGCAGCCGGACCACCGACCTCACCTCTGGTATCATCACACCACGCACAAAAAGATGCAGAAAACAAACTTTGCCAGATGTTCTTGTACACGTCCGCACGATCTTCCCCCTTGTTTTTATGTCAAAACATCATCTGCGGATGGAAAGAAGAAAAAAACTTCCTTTTTTTTGGACGCTAAAGGCCGACTTGGCAATAAAACAATAATGCGCCTCTCTTCAACTTCACAATTGCGTTATTTCAACAAATAACTCTCCGATATGTTCATTCTTTTCACGGTTATTTTGCGCACAGTTACCAATTTGGCAGGAAGTCAGAGGGGAGGAGGGGAGGTTTGTGGGGATGTCCAAGTTCTGCCTGCGCTTCGCTCCTGATGTTGCTGCAGGCTTTGTTTCCACACTAATAGATCCTCTCTCTGTCCTCCTGTTCTCTCCCCTCTTTGCTGGACTTTATTCTGCTTATTCTGACCCCATCTCCTCTTCCCTCTGCAGACGTGGTGCTATGATTCTCCCGGGAGGTTTTTTCTCTGGAAAATATTGGTTTATAAAGCTCCCCCTCCTCTTCCTCCTCCCGGATCGGCCCGCCTTCCCTTGGAGAGCTAAATGGATTTAACTTGATGACCTATACTGCTTTTTTTTTAACCATTAGGTGGCGATTAAACGCCTTATATAGAGATTTACTGTTATCTAAGTAAAGGAAAATTTATATAGACTAGTCAACAAACTACATATAAATACTTTAAAACATTTTCTAAGCATTTCTAAACAGATGTATATTTATAAAATCAGAAACAAATGCATCTTGCAACAGTTTTTTATTCTAAAAAATGTATCTTTAATTTATTACCAGCTACATAAGAGTCTTTCTAATGCATTAACTGTTTAAGACTAATGGAAAACAACTCAAATACATAATTGAACGCACAACTCTCTGTATAAAGACATATTGCGCCCCCTAACGCATATTATTAAACAAAAAGCTTCATTGGGTAAGCTTTTTTTTTCTAATTAAAATTCAAATCACATTAACCCAATTAGTTATACATTTTATACGCATCACATTCTTGCTTTAACTTATGCATTCTTTTAATAATTTGAAATGCTTTTCCAGATCAAAAACCTTTATAGGCCTATAATAGTTCAAGTTATTTATTTATATTTTACCTGTAAACTGTTCAGTGTTTCACATACAAGATAAAATTACGTCAGGGTAAATGTTTACAAGACGTGCCTCAATGAAACTATAATCCAAAGGAGGTCAAAATCTGATCCTAAACAGGAACTGTTTACTTCTTATAGGGTTCAAAACAGAACCACCTGGTCCATAAATCTCCACATGCATCTTGGTCTGCTTCTGAGATAATATAGCAAACCTGACAACTCATTATTAATAATAATTGCTGTAGTGACAAAAAAAAAAAAAAAAACTTATGAAGAAATGCACATTTCTTTCCCAAAGTGGATATTTTTAATATGGGAATATATGAAGTACAGCTTACAACAAGTAGACATATATTTTATTATACATAGTTGCCCTTAGACTTAACTTACCCTCCCATTAAAGAAAATGATAAATCCCTTCTAGTAATTCAAACAAAACTTAAAATAGTCAAATAAATAGAAATTGATAAAATAATAATTTAGTCAAATAAAATATTGATTTTGAATTTTTTTTTAATTCTAATAAAAAAAACTGCCCCAGACAAATTAAAGTGCCTTGCTCATTAACAATGCACCGACATACCGGTCAACAGGTGCAGAAGTCTGACTGATAATTTCCTGAACTTTACAGAAAACATCTGATTTTAATTATTGAAATTTTAAGCATTTTTGAACAACATTTTAGTTCAGGAGCATCATCAGGCTAGTTTATGTAAAATATGTAAAATCAATGTCATCATTTCTATTTTTTGTCATTTTAATTTAATAATTACTTTTGTCCATTTCAATTTATATTACAGGCAGCAGATTTATTTTCTGTCTTGAATGGAAGGGTATGTTAACTATCAAAAACAACTGTACATATACACTTTTAAACATGTAGGTTTAGTAAGTTTAGTAAATTTAAATGCATTACAGATCTCACTCATGGGTCGTATGGTTACAATAACAGTCCCCAAGCTGAAGGGCTAACATCACAGGACAGACCACGCCCTCTTTGGGCTCACAACAACAGCACATGTGCTTTTGTTTCAGTAGGACCATATTTCTAAAAAAAAAAAAGTAGAGCAAGACATGAAAGAATACCCCAACTTACACACAAAATAAACAAAAAATAAAAAGGAAAGACTTATATCCTCTCAGTTCTCATTATATCAGGTTTATTTTCTCTTAAAAAGCAATTCTTGTTTTTGCTGATTTAACCGTGGCAGCTCAAGGTCATTTTTCCTTTGCCAATTTTATATCCCTTTTGTACCAACATTGATTTTCTTTTCTGCTTCAACTTTTTGTGTGTAAGCAAATTTATACCTATATATCTAAACAATTTTTTTTCTTTATTTTGGTAGATAGACACTTGTGAAGAATAATAGAGGTAAAGATCAAATCAAATTCAATCCAACTCTATTATTTATGTAAGTTTTACATGACACAGTTGTTAAATTAACCATCCAAAAACCTGTTTGTACCTTTTGATTCTTAGAGGGATTGATTAATATGAAATACACACTGTTAGTAATGCCCTGCTGTAAATTTAAATTACCCCAAAAAACTAATTTACCTGCAGTAGAATATCAGTAGATTACAGATATGAAAAAAAAAATCATTAGTTTCCAACACAAATATGAAATGCCTCAAGGTGAGCACCCACTGATGCATCATGGGTGATAAATGTCCTTGGGAACACAGCTCCTTTTGGATGCCCCTAAAAGGTTTGAGTAAGCTGAAGAGGATGTGCCATATGGATTACATTTTAATAGGTGACACAACAATCACAAATGTTTCAAAAACAACATATAACTGTCAGACTCTTCTTGTGCATCTTTCTGTGACTCAGTGGGAAGCTGATAGTGCAGCGTTTCCTTGTATGTTCAGATTAGCCTCGTGAGTCACATAATTCAAGCCTCTGAGCCAATTATATGTTGATAAACCCAACAAAATTGGACTATTGCCTCTTTTATAACACAAGACGGCCATGACGCTTGTCTCACAAGAATCACATATAAACACATTACTCTGAATATCAAACTGACAGGCCGCCTGAAATGGGTTATAGAAGCAATTCTTTGTAAATGTCCATAGAGTTGTGCTAAAAGACAAACAAAAAATCTGTACCACAACATTTTCTAAGCCAGTCTAAGTTAAGTTATGAATCTTGTTCTGGTTCTTCCCCTGCTTCCTTCTGCACGGCTTTATTTCCACCTTGACTTACAGTCTTCTGGTCATCAGCTGACTGGTTAGTTGTGTTTAGGAAGGCTTGGTACTGGTTCCAGAAGCCTCCTGAACTCCTAGTGGCTGGAATGTTTAAGGACACAGAAGAAGCAGAGGAAGGAATCTGGTCGGAGGAGGAACGACTTCCCCTGGCTGGTGGACGTGATGGTTTGGTAACGCCCCCATGGTGCTTCATATGACCCTAGGAATTAATTAGATGACATAATTCTTGATTCAGCCAACAGTTCACTCCACTGTACAATTTAGAGAAACAGACAGTGACTGAAATACAGTAAAGAAGCGTAGACGAAAATAATTTGAAAAGGTGATGAAGACACAACGGAAGGAAGTGAAAAAGTAAAGTATGAAGAGTGGCAGAATCAGCAAAGGAAGGACAATGGATGAAATCTTAGTGAAAGAAATCAACAGGTAAGAATTATTGAAGAACTAAGGTAAAAGAAGGGTATAACACAAAAATATACAACATAAGGAAGTAGGGAAAGACATGAGGAAAATAAGCAATGAGGAAGGAAGTGAAAAACACAAAAACTTTTTCCATGAAAATATCTAAAGCAGTTTAAATTCTTTTCAAGACTATGAAGGAGCAGTAAGACATTTATGTTCAATTATGACTAATAAATGATTCCATTAGTAAACTATATGAAATAGAATCTAGTGATTTTTTAATTAACATAACTTTAGCATGATGGAATTCAAAATTCAAGATAAAGTATAACTAACATTAACCTATTAGATGCCTAAAATGAGCTGTTTCACCTTATTACATCAAACTATATTTGATGTAATTAGGTGAAGGGTCTTAGGCAAGACCCTTCATGCAAATGCCTACTTTGTAAGTCGCTTTCGATAAAAGTGTCTGCTAAATGCATAAACTTAAAATGAATATCCTCATGAACATAAACATACAGTATATTCATGTACAGATACAAATTTTATATCTGAAAATATTTTTCTCACCTTTAATCCGCTGCGACTGGCATACTCTTTTCCACATTCCGCACAGCAGTAGGTTTTCTTCTCAGGACGGGACATCGGAGATGGGAGAGTTGGAGCAAGGCTGATGGGCAGCGAAGCATCCAGAGCTTCATTTGAAACCAGTCCACCCATTTGACTGGGATCCGCCTGGCCTTCCCTCTCATATGAACTAAAGTGAAAGCTTTGGCCTGTCTCTCTGACAGACATAGCCTGTTTGTGCAATCCCCCCCTTACTTCAGCAAACATTGTGTCTGCATTCTCCACAGTGGGTGTCATTTCGGGTTCATTTTCAGGAACAGATACTTGGTCTTGTTTTGGTGGTATATTTGGATCAGAAGAGTCTTTGTCTTCCTCAGTCGGTTCTGATGATTGTGGCTCTGTTGAGTCTGTGTTTGATCCCAAAGTAACTTTTCTGTCAGCATCGTAAACATCTTCAGCTGTGATAACGTTAGAGGAAGTACTGGAACTGGTGCAATCATAGGGAGCATCAGTAACAGATGTAATATGTAAGTCATCCATGTCTGGTTTGGAATCATTTAAAGCATCTAGCTTAGGGGATTCTTTACTTTTTGTGGGATCCACCAGCAATAAAGGAGGTGTTGTAGTTTTGTCAGTAGTTTTGTTATCACTAGAGACAAGTGGCAAAGTGTTAGATGTAGGAGTGAAAATATCGAAAGATTCTTGTTGCTGGAGTTTATTTTCTTCATCAGGAGGCAAAGCTGGATCTGTGATTTGGGAGACCTGAAGCGGTGAACTGACACACAGGACAGGGGGATCTTCCGAGCTGGGTGGACGACTTTGTGTGTTAGAGTTCATGAAAGGGTCAGGGCTGAGGTCAGCCGGGGGGATTTGATTAAGGTCTGAGGGTGGGGACTTACTGAGATTTTTCTCAGCTGATTTCTTGCTGCAAGAGGCAGGGATTGTGCCTACAGCTTTAGTTTGTATCTGTGAGTTTGTATCTGTCTTTGCAGGACTCGCTCCAGAAGGTGTTTTACTTGAAGGGGATTCTTGATCACAGGGCTGGGGAAGAGACTGTGTCAAGGATTTGGGATTAGATTCAGGTGGAATCTTCTGTTCAGAATCCTCTGTGCTATCTGGGGGCAACTGTCCACCAAGGTGCATGCGTATGTGATGCTGTAGGACAAGAGCATTGGTAAACTTGCGCTGACACAATGGGCAAGAGTTTTGGACATTGGGTGGCCGGGCATGATGGGTGGCAAGATGTGATCGCAGGCTGCCTTTGGTAGAGAACGACCGCCCACATATCTTACATGGAAATGGACGTTCTCCAAGATGTGTGGCCTGGTGCAGCCGCAGAGCTCTAGGACAACTCAACACCCGTAGGCACACTCCACACTGATTGGTTGTCAGGTTATGTGCTGAACCAGTGGCATTAAGTGATGGTAGTATACCACCTGTCATGGCATTTGCATCATTGCCACTCATTCTGAGAGCAACAAGCATTTCACGGGTGAACTGGGAAACCGATGTGGTGATGTTGGATGACGGAGATGAAACCACATTGGTAGTGGCATTGCCGGCATTTGTGAAACGGGTATTTGATGCACTCCCAGCAGAAGAAGTGGTAGTGCCAGACAAAATCTCCAACATGGATGTTGGAGTAGAGGAGGAAAACCATGGAGTGCAGGACAGTGAAGGGGCCTTCTCCAGCTTCTCGACCAGTCTCTGCAGCTTAGAGGTTTCAGATGTAGGAGTGCTAATTGCTGTGGATGTGGGCAAAAACGATTGAACACTGGTAGTTGGTGAACTGGAGTTTTTAGGAAGGGAAGAAATAGGAAATGGAAGCTGCGAATGGCTGGAGGATGCATGCGGTTGGGATCCTGCAACAGAAGGTAACTGGGTGCGTAGCAAGCTCAGTGATGGATGGCTGTACAGAGGTGAGTGAGCAGCCTGGATAGATGAAGAAGAAGAAACAGAAACAGGTGAAAAAAGAAGCTTTGGTAGGTGTGCTAGTTGGGAATAAGCAGTAGGGGAAAGCATAGGTGCATAAGGTGGAGTGTTTTCATCAAAGCGCTGCTGTTTTACACCTTTGAATAATCCAGCAATAGCAGATGATGATGAAAGGGAAGGATTTGAGAGAAGGGAGGATGCCAAAGAAGAGGTAGAGGATGAAGAAGGTGGGATAGAGGCAACACTAGCAACAGCAGCAGTCCTGTTTAGCTGCAGAAGAGAATGTGAAATCAAAGCCAGATCCACACTAGGGGGTAGAGGCAAAGTAGACGGTGCAGATTCACCAGCAAGCCCAATAGAAAGGCCACTATTGTTACCACTGATTGCCAAGTTGTCTCCACATATTTCATCATCCATCCTACTAATTTTTCGCTTCTTTTGTGTTATATTTATCCCACTAGCACTTCCAGAGCTGTCAGAGATCTGTCCAATATCTGATCCCCCATTTGCACCTAAGGCTAACCCAAATAAAGATGGTGGCAGAAGTGAAAGAGAAAGCTCTGGATTTTGTTCACGATGGCGAAGGAAGTGCACCTTCAGGTTGCCTCGTGTTGTGAAACGACTGAGGCACACGGGACACTGATAGGGTCGTTCACCTGTGTGCGAGCGGAGATGTATCTGCAGGGCAGAATCACTGCTGAATCCTTTTCCACAAAAGCGGCATATATGTTGGAGACGGCCAGAAGTGTTGGAGTTAGATGTAGACGAGTCACTGCCGAGAGAGGCAGATTGGAGCTGAGAGTTTGGGTTACTAGATGATGGTGTGGTAAGGGATGAGTTTAAAAAAGACAAATCACCCTGCCCCCCTACGGATGTAATATTGGGAGATTGTTCATGAAGATAGCGATTGGGTAGAGCTAAGGATAGAGCTAAAGCATAGGTGGGAGAAGGCACAGGGACACCAGCAGAGGAAGTTGTTAGTGAAGAAGAGCATTGGGAGGTCTCCCAAGAATTGCTAGTTCGCCCTGCTTCTTCAATCTGTGATTTATGAGGTTGCAGGACTTGAGACAGGGAAGTGCTTGACTGTGTGGTTTTGTTTGCTTGAGAGGGGGTCATAGAGGAGAAACATGATAAGAGAGGAGCCAATGAAGTATTGGGTTGAGGTGCAGCTGGTTGGGTTAAGGAATCAGATGCATTTTTACTGCCTTCCAGACAGAGTTGTGGCAAAGATGGAAGGATATGCTGGGATGGTGTATCTATACTATAGGAGTCCCCTCCAAGTCGTAAAACCTGTCTACATATCTCCTCTGTGATCTGCATCTGGTGAATCTGCCGTTGTTGCAGCACCCTGAGCTCCTCAAGGATCAGAGCAATGCTCAGATGGGTCCTTACAGGTGTGGCTGAAGCAGAGGTTAAGCCTGGGCTTGGGGTTGGGGTTACAGGACTTGGAGGACCCTCAGGTACCCGACTTGGGCTTCCAGGGTGTGGAGGAGGGCCTAATGATGCAGAGGATGATGATGAGGAAGAGGAGGTTGTGGTTGTGGCTGACAGGCCCAACTTAGGAGACGCCATGTGTGCCGTCTGGGAGCAGTGGCACTAATAAGAGTCAGTATTCAGACAGAGACAAAGGGCCGAAAACTATCCTTGCTAATAGAAGGATATGTAAGGAAAGTGTGAAAACAATGAATCGGTGAATCTTTGAGGGGCTATCTTGGCGAAGAGGGTCCTAATGGATCCACTGTGGGTAGCTGGGGTCTAAGAGCAAGGAGCAGAAGGGACCTTTGAGGAGAGGATGGGGAGCACAAGAGAATCCATGATGAGTCGAAAGGAAATGTACTTCACTGGCAAGGTGTGATCTGGAGAGGGTTAAAGAAACAATCTATATTACGGGAAGGAAATCATGTTTTAGGCAAGATACACAGGAAAACAGAATAGTAACTCTACCTTTGGGTTTAATCTCCATCTGCTTAAAATTCAGCTTCATTTAGTATGTTTTTAGATTTTGCTTTCTTAACAGACAGTAATTTTGTTGTTTTTTTTCCAATTATCTCTTTACTGTCATCTCTGTACTCTCTCACACAAACTTTATGCAGGTTCCACACAAATCTGCACACAAATAAACATCTGTGCCCTTCAACACAGATTTATACCTAGGCTATGTTCACACTGCAAGCATTAATGCTCAGTTCAGATTTTTTGGAGAAATCTGATTGTTTCACATTTCAAAATGGATGCAAATTGTATCTGATCTTCCCTGTGAACTACAGTACATTCATATAAGGTGGTCCTCATGCACAGTAGAGGACACAATGACATTACAAACGGCAAGCATGCTCCTGGTTTACGGAAGTAAACATGTATGGTAGTCCTGTGGCATATGTTGTGTTCTTTCATGTCTTCTCCACCTGGAGCCATTGCATTAACAATGCAATCTCTTTTAAGAAGGTCGAAAAGAAAAACTGCTCTCTGCATTATCATCCTCCATGATTGTTGTTTTTCTTTCTGCTTCTGCATAACAGAATGTAGAATATTGACCTTTGTTATTCCAAAAATGTAAAAAAAAAAAAAAAAAAAAAAAAAATGGATTTTTTTTTTTTTACTTTTTTGGAATGTCTATGACCTGAATGACTGAGAATCTTCACAAGGACAGTGGCCTTTGTTGAGTCCTAATGATGTACTGGCCGTTCAGACACCCGTCTCCTTCTAAAAGATCAGATATGTATCAGATTTAGGACCATGTAACCAACTGGCCTAGGTTGCATTTGAAAAAATGTGGATCTGTTTGTTCAGATTGTCATGAAAAGATCTGATTAAGGTTGGATATGAACAAAAGAATCTGATTTTGGTCACTTCAGGCTCCACTATTCATCCTTCCACATTAAAACAAGATACTGCATCTGCCAAAATACAATCTTTCCTTGATTACTTTCTCTTTCTCCTTTATGTCTTTGAGAGCCTCTAACACCATTTCAGCGAAAATCAGTAAAAGCAAGGTTGCAGGCAGTGAAAACAATATACTGTAGTTTAGGACACAGTGTGGTCCCTAACTTTGTAAATAAAGGACATATCTAATTTTTAAAGTTATGTAAAGTTAGCTAGAGACTTAAATTGAAGGAAGTAACTTATTAAAACTATAAAAAGTTAAGTGGTTAAGTCCTCTTAAAATATTTGCCAATCCTTGACTTTCTGTTCTCCTATTTTAGATATTATTGTGACCATTATACAGTACCTTTGATATTAATGACTTGAGATTGTTCAAATATTGAGATTGATTATTTCCCATACATCTTTGCAAAAGAGCTCAAGCTCAGTCAATCTTGATATAAAACAGCATTAAACATCAAATTTCAGCTCTTGCCACATTATCATTTAGATTTAGATTTAGATCTGGACTTTGACTGGATCATTCTAATAAGTGAATAAATTCTGATCTAAACCAATCCATTTTAGCTCTGGCTGTATGTTTTTGTTGTTCTACGAGAGCTAAACCTCCCCTACAATCTGCCAGGTTTTCCTCCAGGAACATTGCTGTATTTAGCTTGTTAATTTCAACTCGGTCTAGTTTCCTTGTGATTGTAGAAGAAAATCATACCAACAGCGATATTCTGTTCCCACCATGTTTTTTAGTGGGGATAGTGTCTTAAGGGTGATGTAAATTTTTTTCCCACTACATTTTATTTAAAGTTATATAAGTGTAGAGAGACTAAATACAAATCCATGCCACTCTTATTCCAAATTACTTTGCACTTCACAATTATGCATCTCTTTGTGATGATCTGTGACTTAAAATCCCAAAAGAGAACAACAAAGCTTATAGTTGTAATATGGCACATTTTAATACTGCATGCTGTATTTCTTTGATTACACTATACGCTGTAAACTTCACATAATTTCTAGCTGAAGAACCAGAATTGCTTTTCCCTATGTATCGTCATGCTCAGACATGCAACAGGCTGGGTAAGTCGAGCTCCTTAACTGCTGACTTTGTGTCTTTATTAGGTGAGACAGGCTATTGTTGGGTAGGGCTGATGCTAGGAACCACTGGCTGACACAAATTTTGTAATGCTGTTCTGCACAAGAAAGAAAGCAGGAGATTAATTAATCTAGTGATGAAAATACACCATGCATACCATGTGAAAATGGCAATCTGCCAAGTCATTCTTCAAACTGAGGAACTTGGTGATTTGAAGCGACTGTTGTCCGTATGGGTGGTTAGATGAAGATGCCCATACTAAAGAGGCCGTTTCTCTAAAAGAGCTTTGCTTTTATCAAAACTCCCAACTCCCGGCCCTCCGTCTCTTCGGCACACACAGATGCACTCACTTGTTCATCCACTACTTTGCATTCAAAAAGAGAGTGGACTCCGGGTCTTTTGTGACGAGGATTTAATGCTTCTTTTTAGTAACACTTTATAAACTGGACCTCAACTTAACTTCCATTATAAGCTAAGTAATAATTCCAATCATTAAAATGAATCCTCCCAGTAACATTTATCATTTTGTTGTAAAAAAAAAAAAAAAAAAGAAGACAATATTCAGCAAAAACTACCAGTAGCAATAAAATAAACAGCTTTCTTTTTCTTTAGTTTTTTTCATTTTTTTGGTTTTCATCCCATATGCAGCTTAAAGGCTTGATGTATTACAATATAATTTGGTTATGGTTGTGACCAAACACATGGGTTGGCAGATAAATAAGCTATATAGACCGATGTCTAATATCAGTGCCACCAAATGTTGATTTAAAAGGAATAGTTTGTGACTTTGAATTCAAATAATTTTTATTCATCCATTTTATATATCAGTACAACCTGAACAGTCATTATTCCTTCACAGAGCAACTTACAGAATAGTAAGAGCAACATAGCTTAGACAGTTAAAGCCAACACTGGCAGAAGAATCAAAGGTGTATCAGCTGTTAGTACGTTAAGTAATAGGGTAAAACTTAGTTGCACGGACCATAGCCACAAGCAGCTGCTTAAAAAAATATTGATTACAATTTACAATAACCATCAAAACAGTAATTTATGAACGTTAAAGTGATCATGTATAAATGTTTACAGATTGTTTATTAATGTCTGATTGATTTAGAAACCGCATCTAAACCATTTATAAAAGGTAAATGGATAATTTATTAAGGTATTAAGCCCACTGACGTCAGGGTAAGGCTAATACCAATGCAAGTAAAATAAAAAAGAAAGACTAGATTCAGGTCTTAATTCCACGTAAGTTAGGGTTAGGGATAAACTTAAATAGCAGAGCAGCATAAATCAATGTCAGATTACGGTTAGGCAAGAAGTCCACCAGTGTTATGGTTAAGGATAAACAAACATGGCAGGGTAATATGTTCTAATAACCTGTTATAAATGGCTTAGATGCGGTTTATAAATGATTACCAAACATTAATAAATCTTTTAATCATTAATAAATGGTCATTTTACTATTTATAAATGATGGATATTGTAAAGTGTTACCAAAATATTTTCTTTAGAAGCAATAAGTAATCATGATCTTCTTGTCAACAACTCATAGTTTA